ATTAAACCGGAGAAATGACTGCCAGAAGTCTATAGATACTGGTTTTCAAAGCAGACTTTTTTTTTCTTTTGAGATGGAATCTTGCTCTGTCGCCCAGGCTGGAGTGCAGTGGCATGGCCTCAGCTCACTGCAACCTCCACCTCCCAGGTTCAAGCAATTTTTCTGCCTCAGCCTCCTGAGTAGCTGGGTCTGCAGGCACACGCCACCACGCCTGACTAATTTTTGTATTTTTAGTAGAGGTGGGTTTCATCATGTTGGCCAGGCTGTTCTTAAACTCCTGACCTCGTGATCCACCTGCCTTGCCCTCCCAAAGTGCTGGGATTATAGGTGTGAGCCTCTGTACCCAGCCAGACATGTTTTTATATTATATACTCTCTCTGTTTGTTTTTGAGACGGATTCTTGCTCTATTGCCTGGCTGGAGTGCGGTAGCCTGATCTTGGCTCCCTGCAACCTCTGCCTCCCAGGTTCAAGTGATTCTCCCACCTCTTTCTCTTAAGTAGCTGGGACTACAGGCACTTGTCACCACACCCAGCTAATTTCTGTATTTTTTGGAGGGACTGGGTTTCCATGTTGACCAAGATGGCCTTGATCTCTTCACTTTGTGCTCTGCCTGCCTTGGCCTCTTAAAGTGCTGGGATTACGGGCGTGAGCCACCGTGCCTGGCCTACTATGTACTCTGTCTAAACTGCAGAACAACTTCTGTACAAGGAAGCACTCTTGGAGTCTAGTGGCAGATCTATAACAAGTGATATATCATTTGCTTGTAATGAGTTCCTGGGGTGTTTGGCTCTTATTTCTTTTCTCCTACTGAGAGGTTTGATAAACCAAGTTGTTGATCATAGAAGCAGTCATCCAAGCTATGGCTAAAGGTGAAGCCATGGGAGCCAGATGGCTTCCCACTGATTTTTATATGCAGTTTATGTTCTCCTTGGCTGTGTCTTCCTGGATGTTTCAATGAAAGATATTTTTTTCTGGAAAAATGTGTACGGTGGGATTTATTCTATTCAACAGATAGTTTGTGTGTGTCATGTCCCAAGCCCTATTTTGGCATTCAGTTGTCCCTTCCTCTTATCTTCATCCTCTTTAGTAAATGAATAAAGATGCAATAAAATTAGTGTAAAGTGCATTGGATTAGAAGTCAAGTGATGTGGATTCTAATCCTTGTTCTGTGTACTAACAGTGATTTGGCATAAGTCTTGTAATCTCTCCAAGTATCTGTAACCTCACCTAGATTGAAGAAATTATTATCCCCTAAAGTATCCACTCATTACCTCATATTGAAATAAGTATTTGCAAGGGTTTTAGTAGCTTATAAAGGAAGCATGCAAGTGTTGAGCCTTATTATGGCTAAAATCACAAACATATCAGACATGCATATACACACATATCATACGTGCACATACACACATGTATTATACATACACTTACATGATGTTTATGAGTTCCCTCTTGATGTCCTAAGGTTACCAGACATAAAATCCCATCCTTTTACTTTTCTCCTTTGGCTAATAGTATACTTTTGATAAGGTCAAGTAAGTGTCATTTTATTTGCCAACATTGTATTTCTAACAATTGTCCAGGGTTATGTTGAAATAAATTTTCTCCACAAAGTATGTGTCTAATTAATGATATGTCAACTTTATTTATTTCTAGGGGGCAGTTTGATTTTTTTCAGCATTACAAATGAGAAGGATTAAAATTTCCAGTTAAAATGCCAGTGAACTTTTATCTTTGTTGAAAACTTGAGGAAACAGTATGAATCTGTTTTACTTACATTATTTCATTTGATCTTAGAAGGGCTTAAGCCCTACATGATCTCTTTTGTTTGCTGTTTTCTGAGTAGAGTGTAATAAATATATTCTCCATTTGAAATGATCAGATTATTTCAACTAAGAACAAAATTTCTTTCCAAAATCTGAACAAATTATATAGCCATTCAACACCTGCTTTATCCTGTTGTCTTAACTGCCTAGCAAAACAGGAAAAAAATTGCCTTTTCAGAAGGGAACTTACCAGAGCTCAAAGTTCTAGGGATGGTCTTTGTCATTCTACCTCTATTCATGTTTCTTTTCCTAAATTAGACATTTGTTAGAAACCCTCATGAAATATAAAGAGCTCTCAGACCCAGATGCAGAAGAAAGCATAAAATGGTGGTTGTCATCCCTTTGTTACTGCTGCTGGAGAAAGAAAATGCAGTCTGTTACTTAGATTATTTCAGTCCTCCTTTCTTCCGTCCTCCTTTCTTCCAGGAGGACAGAAGAATCGTGGAACTTATGTGTACCAGTAGATCATTAATTTTTTTGTGCTAATTGATTTTGTTACAATCTCTTGCTGAAATAAGCAAATTATGGGAGATAAATAATATTTTGCTGTCAAAGCATGATGTAGACTGACTTAAAAAAAGAGAAAAAAATGAAATAATATTCTGAAAAACATACTTTTTCAGTGCATTAATTCAAGTTTTTATTTTTTACTTTTGGTGCTATGCTGCCAAAGTCACTTAAGTAGAATTGGCAGTGATGAAACATTGGTCCGTCTTAGGTTCTTTCCAACATCAGTGACACAAGATGCTGACAGTCATAGCAGCAGGGTGATGTTTGCTTTGAAAATGTGCAGCCACATTTTATTGTGTCTGATTTTTCAAGCTCTACTTAGGAGTGATGAGTGCTTATTACAGGATTTATCTACCTAAGCCTTCTGAGTTTTTTTTTTTTTTTTTTAAAAGAAAAGGAAAATTGAGATGGCTTGAAAAAGAAGCATTTCTCTCACACTGATATGTTTCCACTCTCTTTTTAAAAGAGTGGGGATGGGAACACTCCCCAGAGTGACTCATTAGTTGCTATTATGGATGTTTGTCCTGAACACTCATACATCATAGCAAAGCAGCATTCAGTGTGTATAGTAGGATGGAGTCAGACTACCTAGGTTGGAATCCTAGCTTTGCTTTCTCTGACTGTGTGACCTCGGGCAAGGCACTTAAACCCACTAACCCTGTTTCTTCTCACATAAAAATGTGGATAATAATACTTTATACCACTATATAGGATCATTTGGAGACTTTAATAAGACAGCATATCTAAAGCACTTAGAACAGTGTCCTTCAAAGTATTCAAATAATGTAAGTAATTATTATTGCAACAACTATCGCTGTTCCATACTTATACTGTACCACTGGTATATATCTTGTAAAATAATTAACATGAGTTGGCAAAAAACATATTGGAAAAAAGAGATTTCTAGTGTAAATACTAGCCTAAAGCTCTCTTGGGAAATGTAAATTTAAATTTTCATTAGCAATGATTGTGAGATTCCCCTAAAGGAATTTCCTAGGAAGGGATGATAGAATGTATCTATGTAGGTATATATGTATGTATGTTCTCACTAATATTTCACAAATGCTCCTCAACCCAGGAGATTGATACCTTGTTTTCTTTGTAATTATAAAACAGAGTAGGTTTTAATATAGAATTTTGTTCTAGTCAGGGAAACTAGTGGACGTCTCAAATGACAATCTGACTTATGTGATGACTGCTGAACCTTTAGATAACCTTTTTGTACCACTCCCTTTTTCTTCTAATTGTTTTCTTCCTTTGGAGACTTAAACCTTTTACTCTCCTAAGAGAGTATAACAAGATTTTCCATATGCTTCTTAGAAACTACAAAAAGTATTTTTCTCCTGGTTGTGGAAGAAAAGCTGGGAAACTTGAAGAAGCAGGCTTTGCCAGCCTCCGAAGCCCCCTGTTGTGCTGCTTTCTTAAGGAAAGTAGATCTCTGGTAAAGTCATAATTTGTTCCCTTCTTATTCTGAGCAAAAGTTTATTAGCTTGTGATTTAAGCAAACCATCTGGTCCTGCTGGCATTGCGCACTGTCAAGCCCCGTGCTTTCTCCTTAATATGTTACTGGAGGCAGTTAAGTTACATATTTGCGTCCCAGCTCTGGCCTGAGCCTTTCTGTGTTTTAAAACGTCTGCTTTTGAAAATTGTGCTGTGACCTGGAGTATATTTTAAAAGTGTTGAGAAACTCTTTATTGTTTTGTATAGGATTTATCTCCTCTTCTACTCAGCGGTCTTTACCTTCGTTTCTCTGGCTGTGCCCAATACTGTACAACTGCCCAGTGGTAGGCATGAAATGGAACCAAATGGTTCTAGCTGAAAGTGTTCTCCTGGATTGTGGAAAGGTAACAGAAAATGAAGTAATTAAATTTGACTTTGAAACTGTTTCCCTGGCTTAGAACCAGAGAGCAAATCAGATGATTAGTTGGAAATACTTGCTTATGGTGCCATTCTTGCCTTGAATACCCAAAAAGTTACTTGGATATATGTATAATCTGAGGCAGAAATACTTTGAGGATCTGGCACTCAAATGGATGGGAAAATTAGGCAATCTTTAAGAAAACAATTTTACTAACAGGTAAAATTCTGGAAGTTAGAGATTTTTTCAGTTTTTTTAACAATAGGTAATAGTTTTAGGTATTTATGGGGTACATGTGATATTTTGCTATATGTATACAATGTATAATGATCAAATCCAGGTAACTGAGGTATCCATCACCTCTAACATCTATTATTTCTTTGTGTTGGGATCATTCCAAATCTTCCCTTTTAGCTATTTTGAAATTCACAATAAATGATTGTTAACTCGAATCTCCCTACTGTGCTACTGAACACTAGAACTTACTTTTTCTATATAACTGTATTTTTGTACCCATTAACCAACCTCCCTTCATCCCCCTCTCCTTCCTACCCTTCCCAGCCTCTGGTAACCACCATTCTATTCACTACTTCCATGAAATCAAATTTCTTCTAGCTCCCACATATGAGTGAGAGCAAGCAACATTTGTCTTCTGTGCCTGGCTTATTTTACTTAACATAATGTTCTCCAGTTCCATTCATGTTGCTGCAAATGATAGGATTTCTTTTTATGGCTGAATAAGATTCGTGTGTGTGTGCGTGCGTGTGTGTGTGTGTGTACATACCATGTTTCTTTTATTCATCCACCGATGGACACTTAGGTTGATGCTGTATTTTGGCTGTTGTGAATAGTGTCACAGTAAACATGGGAGTACAAATATCTGTTTGATATACTGATTTCTTTTCTTTTGGATATATACCCAGTAGTGGGATTGCTGGATCACGAGATAGTTCTATTTTTAGTTATTTAAGGAAACACTATAGCATTTTCCATAGTTGCTGTACTAATTTCCATTTCCACTAACAGTGTATGAGTGTTCTCCCTTCTCTGCATGCTTGTCAGCATTTGTTATTGTCTACTTTTTTGATAAGAGCCATTTTAACTGGGATGAGATAGTGTCTTATTGCAGGGGGTTTTTAGGAGTGGTTGGTGGGGGGAGACAGAGTCTGTTATCCAGTCTGGAGCACAGTGCCGTGATCATAGCTCACTGCAGCTGCAAACTCCTGGGCTCAGGTAATCCTCCAGAATGGCCAAGACTACAGGTGTGCACTACGGTGCCTGGCTAATTTTTTGTAGAGATGGAGTCTCACTCTGTGGCCTAGGCTGGCCTTAAACTCCTCCTTCCTGCCTTGGCCTCCCAAAGTGCTCAAATTGTAGGCATAAGCCACTGTGGCCAGCCAGGATTATGGTAGTTTTTCTACTGTTAAGCCAACCTTGAACTCTTGGAATACAACTAACTTGCCCATGCACATTTTTCTTTTTTGTGTACACTAATTTTGGATTGGTGTGATTATGTTTAGGAATTTTTGCTACATGCTCAGGATTGAGACAGGCCTAAGCTTTTCTTTCCCCGTGTTAATTTCTTTTCCCATATTAATTTGTAAAGTTTTGATATGAAGTTATGTGAGCCTTATTAAATACATTGTTGAGTGATTGTTCCCTCTCTTTTATATTTCCGATGTGTGTCTGCAAGATTGAAACTATTTGTTCCTTTTATATTTGCCAAAAGTTACTACTATAAATCTCTGGACTTGAAATTTGTGTGAAAAATTTTTGTTACTGACTCATTTTTCTCAAATTTTCTTTTTCATATTTAGCTGGCTTTGCTAAGTTCAATTTTCCTTGGCATTTGATGATTTAGTCTAAATTTTCAAATGTACTGGCAAAGATAACCCTTGTATCTTTTTAACACCTGCAAGACTATTAGTTGTGAACCCGCTATCATTCTAAAATAAATATTGTTCATTGTGCCATTTTTCTTTTTCTCTTTTAGTCTCAAGAAAGACCAGCTGACTTTCTTAGTGTTTTCAAAGAATGAATTTTGGGCTTTGTGGATTCATTTTATAAAAGGGTGAGGGGGATTTGGTTTCCCACTTGACTATCTTGGGCTGCCTTGATCTTTTCTTTTATCCTATGAAGATACAAAACCCAATGTTCAACAGCTTATCAAGTACTTATTTTTGAATTCTCTGCCTGTTCATCCCTGACCTGAGAATTTCTTACCTTTTGCCAACACATAAATGCATGTTTTATTATCATCAATTGTTTCTGTGAAAGTTACTTCCAGCATCAAGTCTGTCATGTTTAAAGACACATTTTACCCTTCATTCAAAACTCTTAACTTCCAAAACAACAAAAAAAATTGATTAAAATATGAATAAAAGATCTGAATAGACATTTCTCAAAAGACAACATAAAAATAGCCAATAGGGGGCCAGGGTCGTGGCTCATGACTATAGTCCCAGCACTTTAGTACTAATCCTAACATTTCGGGTGGCCAAGGCAGGTGGATCACTTGAAGTCAGGAGTTCGAGTCCAGCCTGGCAATGTAGCAAAACCCTGTCTCTACTAAAAATACAAAAATTAACCAAGTGTGGTGGCGCACACCTGTAATCCCAGCTACTTGGGAAGCTAAGGCAGGAGAATTGCTTGAACCAGGGAGATGCAGTTTGCAATAAGCCGAGAATATACCACTGCATTCCAGCCTGGGCAACAGAGCAAGACTTTGTCTGAAAAAGGAAAATAATTACTATAATCCACCACAGTAAAAAATGGTAGAAGAAGAGTTATATGATCATCTCAAGAAATGCAGAAAATTTACATTCATTTATAATTTTAAAAATTTCTTAAATACCTAGTAATAGAAGGGAATTCCCTTAACTTAAAAAGGGCATCTATTAAAAATTGTACTACTTACAGATAAAACTTATAAAGCATTCTTTTTAAAAATACAAATAGGCCGGGCGCGGTGGCTCACGCCTGTAATCCCAGCACTTTGGGAGGCCAAGGTGGGTGGATCACGAGGTCAAGAGATCAAGACCATCCTGGTCAACACGGTGAAACCCCGTCTCTACTAAAAATACCAAAAATCATCTGGGCATGGTGGTGCATGCCTGTAATCCCAGCTACTCAGGAGGCTGAGGCAGGAGAATTGCCTGAACCCAGGAGGCAGAGGTTGCGGTGAGCCGAGATCGTGCCATTGCACTCCAGCCTGGGTAACAAGAGCGAAACTCCATCTCAAAAAAAAAAATAATAATAAAATAAAATAGAGTGCATGCTGTCATTATGTCTATACAGCATTGTAGTAGTCATTCTAGATTGTGCAGCAAGGCATGTATGTGAAAGAAATGAATATTGTAAGAATTACAAGAAAATAGTACTATCATAGTTGTCTATATAGTAAATTTCAAAATCTATCAGTAAATAAGAGCATTTAAGAAGACTGCTAGATACAGAATCAGTATTAAAAAATCAATTCAGTTTCTATAATCACTGAACAGAAAATTTACATTTTTGTAAAAATGATACTATTTACTAGAATATTAAGAAATGTGTAAAGTACCTAGGGATAAATATTATTAGGATGTTTAACATCTTAATGGGAAAAATTATTAAACTTGATATTAAAGTTCTAAAAATATATTCATTACCTGTTCTAGAACAGTACTCTGGCATATTATAAAATCTAAATATTTTTACAGAAGTTCAAGAATAGCTAAGATGCTCTTGAAGAGAACAAGGTGAGACTTATTAGATATCAAGCTTTATAACATGATAATAATTAAGATAATGAATCTGGTATTGGTGCAGGAATAGGCAAGAGAGTAAAACATAATAGAAAGTATGGAAATATCCATGCTTATGAATATACTTGATGTATGTCAAAGGTTAAGATAGAGTAGATTTTTAAGTAAATGGTACTGCGACATTGGCTATCCATATGGGGAAAAATGAAATCAGACTCCTGCCTTAATATCATATACAAAAATGAATTCCAGATGGATTAAGGACTAAATATGAAAAGCAATACTTTAAAACTCTTAGGAAGTTTATCAATCAGATGTTGTGTAACAACCACAAAATAGCAGCAGCATATTGTGATGGTTAATTTTATGTGTTGACTTGACTGGCCACAGGGTGCCCAGATACTTGCTCAGTTAGTATTCTGGGTGTTTCTGTGAGGGTATTTGGGGATGAGATTAACATTTAAGTCAGAAAAATTGAGTAGAGCTGATTGCCCTCCCTGATGTGGGTGGGCCTTATTCAATCAGTTAAAGGCCTGAGTAGAACAAAACTCTGATCCTTCCCAAAGGAAAGAGAATTTCCTCTGCCTAACTGCTTTCAAACTGGGATATTAGCTTTTCCTTGCATTTATTCAGACTCAAACTGAAACATTGGCTCTTCCTCAGTCTGGAGCCTGCTAGCCTTCAAATGGGAACTATACCATTGGCTCTCCTGGTTTTCAGGCCTTTGGATTTGGGTTGGAACGATGTCATTGGCTTTCCTGGGTCTCTAGCTTGCCATCTCACCCTATAGATCTTGCTGTTTGTGAGCAAGTTTCCTCTAAGTTGTCTTTGTTTACACATATACACTCTGTTTCTTCGGAGAATTCTGTCTAAGATACATAAAATAACAAGCATTTATTTCTCATTCACATACATGGAGGTTGAGAATGGAGGGCTCTGCATTAGTTTTAACTGGGGTGGCTCTGCTCCACATGGTCTTTCTAGGGCCCAACTGAGGGGTAGCAGCTATGCAAAATGTTCTCCTGGCAATGGTAGAAATGCAACTTAGCCACTTAGACTGTAAACCTCAGCTTGTGTCACATCTGCAAACATCTCTTTGCCCAAAGGAAGTCATGTAGCCTAGCCAAAGGTACTCAAGATAATCTGCCCATCATGAGTCCATAGCAAGGATATAGATATATATTTTTAGTATAGAGGAATGAATAATTGAGAGCACGAATTCAGTCTACCAATGAAGGCAGTATAAAAAGAAATAGGACTTTGAGTATAAGAAAGGATTTGTTAAACAGAATGTAAACATCACACATTATAAAATAAATGTTTGATAAATTTGAACATATTTATATATGGTATAGTCATGCACTGCTTAACAACAAAGACTTTAATTACATCTGGGAAATTCATTGTTAGGCAGTGTTTCTTGTGCAAACATCATAGAGTGAACTTACACAAGTCTATATGGTATAGTCTACTACACACCTAGGCTATATGGTATAGCCTTTCTCTTCTGGGCTATAAATTTGTAGAAAACATTACTGTACTGAATAATGTAGGCAGTGGTAGCACAAAGGTAAGTGTTTTAGTATTTAAACATATCTAAACAGAAAAGCACAATAAAAGTACAATATAAAAATTTTTTTAAAGATACATCTGTTAAGGAAACTTAGGAGTAGAGCTTGCAGGACTAGAAGTTTCTCTGGGTGAGTCAGTGAGTGAGTGGTGGGTGAATGTGAAGGCCTAGGATATTACCATACACTATTGTAGACTTTATCAACACCGAACACTTAGGTTACACTATGCTTATTTTTTAAATGTTTGTCTTCTTTCCATAATAAATTAACCTTAGCTTACTAAGCTTACTTTTTAATTTTATAAACTTTAAAATTTTTTAAAGCTTTTTGATCCTTTTGTAATAACTTAGCATAAAACACAAACATTGTACAGCTGTACAAAAATATTTTCTTTATATCCTTATTGTGTAACCTTTTTTTCTATTTTGAAAAATGATTACTTTTTTATGACCTTTTAAAACATTTTTTTCCCAAAACTAAGACATAAGAACACACATTAGCTTATGCCTACACAGGGTCAGGATCATCAGTATCACTATCTTCCACCTCCACATCTTGTCCCACTGGAATGTCTGTCTTCAGGGACAGTAGCACACATGGAGCTGTCATCTTCCTAGGATGTCATTGCCTTCTGGATACCTCCTGAAGGACCTGCCTGAGGCTGGTTTACAGTTATCTTCAAAAAATAAGTAGAAGGAGCCGGGCGCGGTGGCTCAAGCCTGTAATCCCAGCACTTTGGGAGGCCGAGGCGGGTGGATCACGAGGTCAAGAGATCGAGGCCATCCTGGTCAACATGGTGAAACCCCGTCTCTACTAAAAATACAAAAAATTAGCTGGGCATGGTGGCGCGTGCCTGTAATCCCAGCTACTCAGGAGGCTGAGGCAGGAGAATTGCCTGAACCCAGGACGCGGAGGTTGCGGTGAGCCGAGATTGCGCCATTGCACTCCAGCCTGGGTAACAAGGGCGAAACTCCGTCTCCAAAAAAAAAAAAAAAAAAAAAAAAGTAGAAGGAGTACACTCTGAAGTAGTAAGTATAGTACAATAAATACATGAACCAGTAACAGTTGTTCATTAAGTATTATGTATTGTACATAATTGTATGTGCTATATACTTTTATATAACTGGCAGTGCAGTAGGTTTGTTTAACCAGTGTCACTACAAACACGTGAGTAATGCATTGTGCTACAACATTATGATGGCAGCAGTGTCACTAAGCAATAGGAATTTTTCAGCTCCATTATAATCTTATTGGACCCCCATCATATATGTGGCGTGTTATTGACCAAAGTGTTATGTGGCATGTAACTGTATTTCTGATTATCTAAAGCCAGTATAATGAAAGGAAAAGATAATTTATGGAAAGAAGATTTCTATAAGGCCAGAGTGTAAGTATAAGCCATAATCTGGGAGAAGAAATTTGCTACACATGTAATTGATAAAGGGTTGGTATCTAGAATATACGTTCATTAATACGTTTATAACTCCTTTAAATCAACAAGACTAAGAAAAACAAGCTGTTTTTGGTATGGGAAGATGGGGATAGGTGGTGTGGGAAGGTGGGGCTAGGAATTTGAAGGAAGAAGTATAAATGGCTCCTAAACAAACAAAACATGTAACTTCACTTATGATTATTTAGATGATTAAATAATTTGATAAAAGATTAATTAATAAATTTTTAATGAAGATTTCTATAAGGCCAGGCACAGTGGCTCACACCTATAATCCCAGCACTTTGAGAGGCCGAGGCAGTGAGATCACCTGAGGTCAGGAGTTCAAGACCAACCTGGCCAACATTGTAAATCCCTGTCTCTACCAAAATACAAAAATTAGCTGGGTGTGGTGATGGGCATCTGTAATCCCAGCTACTTGGAAGGCTGAGGCAGGAGAATTGCTTGAACCCAGGAGGTGGAGGCTGTGGTGAGCCGAGGTTACACCACTGCACTCCAGCCTGGGCAACAGAGCAAGACTCTGTCTGAAAAAAATAAAAAATTAAAAAAAGTAAAATAGAAAATAAAGATTTCTGTTATACTGCTGTCATCTGAACCCACTAATCAATGTGTGTATAAACCTGTGTAACGATCCTGCACCATCTGCACACGTACCCCAGAACTTAAAAGTATAATAAAAAAAAAAGTGGGAAAGACAATCAGTTATGTGTCTTGTGTGATATACTATGAACTACACAGCCTTACTTATGAAATATTATCAAAAAGACCAAAAATATTGAACCCAGATCTAATGAAGCCGTAAAGCCTTTAAATCTTTCAGTTTAAAGAAAAATGAGGACAGGACATTAAATGGCACCATTAAAAAGTAGTCAACAAAGGCCGGGTATAGTGGCTCATACCTGTAATCCTAGCACTTTGGGAGGCCAAGGTAGGCAGATCTTTTGAGGTCAGGAGTTCAAGACCAGCATGGCTAACATGGCAAAACCCTGTCTCTACTAAAAATACAAAAATTAGCTGGCAGTGGGGTGGCTGAGGCTGAGTTTAAAAATCTGTAAAATTACATACTACATAAGTTCATTTGTATAAATTTAAAATAAACAGGCAAAATTAATCTATAGTGTTAAAAGAATAATGCTTACTCTTTATCTGGAAAGGGGATATGCGGGCAGTTTCTGGGGTACTGGTAACGTTTGGTTTATTGTTCTGTGTGCTGGTGACATAGATATGTTCACTCAGAAAATTCTTCATGCTGTACATTTATTTTATGTGTATTTTATGTATTTATCTTGTATTTTAATAAAAAGTTTCCCAAAATGTTTAAATGCATAGGGGTATGTATAGAATGGGCTTCCATTTATGTAGAAAAGGGAGGAATAGGTTATTTATACATGCTTGCTTGTGTGTATGTAAAATATCTGTCCAAGTTATGTAAGAAAGTGACAGTGTTGGTTGCCTGGGGTGGCAAAAGACAATGGGAGGAAGATTTTTTGAGATCATAAAAGATGGACACATCTTATACTTTATGCATCAGAGCTCCTATAAACTGTTCTTAACCATTACTGATTTTATGTTATAAGAACATAGCTTGGTATATCATTTGTACCCAATTTTAGATAAGATTGTACATGAATTAAACTGATAAAATGGAATCAATGCTATATGTTCATGTAAAGCTTGCAGATATGTGAATATATTACATATCAATATATTCTCCACCCCCCCTTTTTTTTTTTTTTTTTGGTTTAGTAGAGACAGGGTTTTGCTCTGTTGGCCAGGCTAGTCTCACACTCCTGATCTCAGGTGATCCACCTGCCTCAGCCTCCCGAAGTGCTGGGATTACAGGTGTAAGCCCGGGCTTAATTACAGCAACCGGGACTGTGAAGATGCTGTTAGCTGAAGACATTTAACTAGCCCACTTCTGGAAGGATAAAGTAATTTAGGTGCCAAAAAAACTAAATGCATATGCTTACTATCATTGTTTAACAGCTGTTACCAATCAACGTGGAGACTTTGTTTAGGTATGAAGCACTAATTTCCAGGGGTCAATGAAACAACTTTGATTTCTCATGCTGATTTTTGACTCTAGGCTTCTCTGTTTTAGTTCCTCACAAATGGGTTTTATGTAGGAGTCAATGAACGGTAAATGCACCGTCTCTACCTGCCCTACCCTCTACTTCTGAAAAGACTGGTTATTACCAAGATTATTTCTTGACAATTAACAATCCAACATAAATTCTTGTAATTGATGCAGCTGGCTGTTTGATTACATTTGCTTCTGAATGAAAATGAACATGTTTATTTAAATAATTCTGATTTGGTAGCCACCTCGAGTAAGTAAAAGCAACTGATGAAGTACTTACCTTGCTCTCTGTTTCTTTTCCCTCTGTTTTAGCATTTTGTCTTTCTTCTCTGGTGGTTTTTTTGTTTGTTGTTTTTCAGGTCTATTTCTGTCAAGGCTTTTTTTATTTTTATTTTTTCGTTTTAAAGCATTCTGTCTCTTTTCTATCTGGTTTTATTTATATATATATATATATATATATATATATATACACACACACATACATACATACATACATGTATCTATATAGGTATATATTTTCTTCCTGCCTTCCTTAAAAAAGAAACACCACCTACCTGGCTTTAGAGCAAGAAATTATCTGATTGAATTCTAGCAGTTTCTTTTAAAAGAAATTCTTCTTAATGATGTAAACAGGAAAATTTTAGTTTAGAAGACTAAAAATTATTTATGTATGTATATGGGGAATCTGTTATTAGTCAAGTTTATGTCTTTTATTTCCTAAAGTCATTCTGTATATGATTTTTTAAATATATATATTTGTATTATTTCCATGGAAATTTCTGGATCATTTCCAAAGGACTTCCTTAAAAGGTATTGTCTGTGGCAGAGTGCGACTTCTTAAACTGATGATTTGGATGCCTTTGCATGTATTAGGTTCTTTCTGACCTAAACTGAAAATAATTATACTGTAGGGATATTATTGTCTGCTGTATTGATTGTTGATATGTATACACATATCTGATCCAGAAAAGGTACAGAATTTTTAATGTATTCCTGTGTCTCTTCAATTTTCTGTTAAACCAGGTCCTCTGACTTTAATTGATCAAGATGTTTCGTTTTTCTCCTTCCCATATTTATGATAGGTGGAGGAGTTACTGATGGCCATGGAGAAAGTAAAGCAGGAACTAGAATCCATGAAAGCAAAGCTGTCCTCTACCCAGCAGTCTCTGGCAGAAAAGGAAACTCACTTGACTAATCTTCGCGCAGAGAGAAGGAAACACTTAGAGGAAGTTCTGGAGATGAAGTAAGTGTTTGTAGACTTATTCTTCAAGCACATGCTTAGTGGAAATACTTTTTCTCCCCACATTCATCTTCTGGCTCTGTTTATTACCATAATACACTTACTTAATTTTAATGCTAACTTGTATTTCTCACTCTTTACAATAAATTTGGTCAAAGGTGGAACAAATCCTGGTCAAATAGAAAGGTGCAACCTTGTCTCTACTAAAAATAAAAAAAAAAATTAGCCAGGCGTGGTGGCATGTGCCTGTAATCCCAGCTACTCAGGAGGCCGAGGCAGGGGAATTGCTTGAACCGGGAAGGTAGAGGTTGCAGTGCCACTGTATTCCAGCCTGGGCAACAGGGTGAGACTCCATCTCCAAAAAAAAAATATATATATATATATATATATTTGGCTCCTCTTTAATGAATTTTAAGTCTTCTGACATATACATATCTGTATATAATTACCTCTCTGAAATTCCTAAGATCTTCTGGAAAGTTCAGGCAAAATGGTGAACTTACTGGGGAAGAGGGCTGTTTGTTCTGAGGTCGTATGAAGACTAGGCAATTTTTAAACATATTTCTTATTGTAAACATTTCCAAAGATACACACAAGTAGAGAGAATGAACTCCCATATACCTATTTCCAAGATTCAGCAGTTAACATTTTGTCACACTGGAAGCAAATTTTTAGAAAATTGTCACTTTTAGCAAAACTTTGCTATACAACATTTTCCTACTCCCCCCACATTTTATGGGTTGCTAAGACTATAATCTGTTATGAAGCATGTAAACATCTACTCATACATAGTAGATGTTTCTTTTTCTTCTCAGTGACCTTCTGTTTAAAACAAACATGTCTCTTTGAATATCCAGTTGTACTCTCTCATTTGCCAGTCGTAAACCTTCCCCTTACCTAAAGACCCTACTCTTATTTTACTGAAACCAGGTCTATCCTGGGATCCCTCAGTTACCTTCATTATATCAGCTTTATCTTTATTTTTGTTATCTTCTTTTCTGTCTCAGAGGAGAGGTTTTTTTCTTCTTCATAAGGCCAGATTCTTACTTCTGTCACAGATTTTAAGTCCCCACCTGAGCAGACTTTCGCTGTCAGTTCTCTCTTACATAATCCTTGCTCACTTCTCTTCATAAATACACAGTCTGTCTTTGGCCTAAAATAAATTTTTTCACTCCAACAGTGCTGTAAACTGACATCAGTTTACTTTTCTACTATGAGGTGTAAATAAACTTTGAATACCTGAATAATAGAGCAGTAGAGGAGCTTGCCATGATACCCCGTTCATGAATTCTCATGGGACACTATATCGCCAATGATTCTCATGGGCAATATAGTGACTGGAGTCCAAGAATGTTGAGGTGTTTGTTCTCTGTGCGTACAGGTTCCTGGGCTACAGTGCAAGGCCAAGGGATTCTTTCCTTTTAGAAAAGCATTACAGGTAATATGTCTTTGAAGTAATGAGTAAGTGAAGCCAGAAGTGGATTGTTATACAGGGAGAATTTGGAGAGGTTAGGGTTCTGCGTAACATCATGAGAAAAAAGCTTGCAAATTTCGGAGGAGAAAGGAAAGTCCTCCCTATGACTATTGGCAGTGACACTAGATTCTTTACTCTGTAGTCATTGAAGGATCCACCATATTTTAAAGGTTTAAAATATTCAGTTATTGATAATTGAACAAGCAAAAAGACTTCTCTTCCTAGAGTTCTCTACTTGGAGAACTTAAGAGGTAAAAATATGAGGGGAATGAAATGTGCAGGGAGACTGAAACATGCATATGTGTGACTCTGGATCTAGAATAAGAAATAGTCTTTCCTGAGGAAAAGGTAGTTGGCCCATTTGTATAGAAAATTCTTCAGCAAAGCACTAGAATAGGCTTGTTTTCTAGAATAATCCTGACCTCATCAAGCCGAGAGAAATGAATTAATAGTTATTTTCCATTCCTAGCATATATTATTGTAATTTTTGAACGTCTGTTACAGATAAATGGTGACCATGAGTTTGGGGAAACGTAAAACGGTTCACTTGGTAGCCTGCCAGTGGTGCATTAGAAACATTTGTGTTGGTTAGCCAGCCCTGAAGAGAAGGAACATTTTTATTGGCAGATCCCGCAGTGGTTCTTCTCTTCCTTATGCTGTGGTTTTGTTAACCATTACTTTTTTATTCCACTTTTATGTTAGCCTTTTTCCCTTAAGAAAGAAGGATAAAAGGGAGCAGGGGAAAAATAATAAAATAACAACTCTAATAACTGTAATAAATTTTAAGTATCAGTTGAGGTCATGAGGTTCACCATTAAGAATTCTAGATGAGCTAGTTCATTTGACACTGCCCTGCATTCAAACTCCTCCTGCAGTCCCACCCTACATTAGCATTCAGAATAGAGCTTACAAGATCCATTTTTTATTTTTAATAAAATTTTTATTAAGCTATGAATTTGACTGCCCTGAAAATTGGTTTGTTCAGGGAAGGGATGGCAGAGCTCTTTGGCTTCATTGAGAGTTTAGAGCTATTCAATAGGTAACCTCCTATGTGCAGGCAGTTCCTATATGACCATTCAAACAATGAAATGAACGAGTAGGAGTTAAACAAATCATTATACTGATTGGGAGCTTAAAATAAATAAATATAATTTAAAAGGCAATGTCAACACAGATGAAAAAGGAAAAATATTAGAATCTCCTGAACTGACTAGACAGACATGTTTAGAATACTGGTCTTCTCTGGAAACAAGTAAAGCTGGCAGAGAAATCCAAATATCTGTGTGTTAAATTATATACTCATTAAATGCTTTTTGGCTAAAAAAAAGGTCTCCCACATCCAGAGAATACATTTTCCTATATAACTAAGAACAGTCCAGTACTGTCATCTGAATTCTGACATTTAAAAATTTTTGACTGTTAGGAGAGAAAAGTAGAGTACAGTCACGATTAAGAGAACTATTAACAGGCCGGGGCAGTGCCTTATGCCTGCAATCCCAGTACATTGGGAGGCCGAGGTGGGCGGATCACCTGAGGTCAGGAGTTGGAGACCAGCCTGGCCAACATAGTGAAACCTCATCTCTACTAAAAATACAAAAATTAGCCAGACATGGGGGCGGGCACTTGTAGTTCTAGCTACTCGGGAGGCTGAGGCAGGAGAATCTCTTGAACCTGGGAGGCAGAGGTTGCAGTGACCCAAGATCTTGTCACTTGTACTCCAGCGTGGGTGACAGAGCGAGACTCCATCTCCAAAAAAAGAAAGGAAAAAACAGAGCTGTAAAACGTAGCTATTGGAAAATGTTCAGGCTATTTGGGGAAAGTTATAGTTGGGTGATCACTCTGTTATGCTTCAAATAATTAAAATGAAACTGTATTTTGAGTTTTTTTATCTTCTTATATCCTGTAGTAGTTTAAAAAAAATTTTGGCCAGGTGTAGTGGCTCACACTTGTAATCCCACCACTTCGGGAGGCGGAGGCAGGTGGATCACCTGAGGTTAGGAGTTCGAGACCTTCCTGGCCAAAATGGTGAAACCCTGCCTCTACTAAAAAATACAAAAAATTAGCCGGGCGTGGTGGCATGCATCTGTAATCCCAGCTACTCGGGAGGCTGAGGCAGGAGAATCACTTGAACCCAGGAGGCGGAAGTTGCAGTGAGTCAAGATTGCACCATGTGCGATATTAAAAAAAAAAAAAAAAAAAAAAATTTGTAGGGTTGCTGACATTCAAAAAAATCTCATTGGGGGATTTATGACATAATATTCTAGATTAGCCACAAAATTGTAAATAGTTATTCAAATTATATCCTAGTGACAATTTAGGGGGGAAATAAAAGTGAAAATGCATTCTGAGTTATATAAGAGCGTGTAAACTCATCACAAAGCCATGTTTATTTATACTTCCACCAAAAGACATTTTTTTTTAAGCCTGAAGACATATGATGAAGAACTTTTAGTGGACTTGGGAACATTTTTCACAGTGGGCTAGAATACTGAGGTTAAATGTTCTGTAGGAAACCCACATAAATTAATATAAAATTATTTTACGCTTGAAAAAGAAAAAATATGTTGTACAGTATAGCTCTAAACAAATAGCATTAGTAGGTCTGGGGCTAGTTAAAATTATAAAGCAAAGTTTATATCTACAATCAACTATCCCTTGGGACTTCTCAGTTTTGCTGAACTCTCTCATTCTGCTCCCCTTTTTTCTGCCCTGATACTCAGTGCTCTTATATGGCCCACCCTATAGAAATTTTTTTACTTTCTTGTGACCTGAATTGGAATAAATTACAAATAACCCTAAAGGCAAGGCTCCTTGCCTTTCTTCTTCTTTAAATTTTAAACTTATTCCACATTTTATCTTTTTAAGATCAGACATAACTTCCAAATAGAAGAAACCACATTTTTTAAAGAAATCTATGCTTCCTAATGTTTTTTTTTGTTTTTGTTTTTGTTTTTTTTTTTTGAGATGGAACCTCACTCCGTCACCCAGGCTGGAGTGCAATGGCACAATCTCTGCTCACTGTAACCTCTGCCTCCCGGGTTCAAGCTATTCTCCTGCCTCAGCCTCCTGAGTAGCTGGAATTACAGTTGTGTGCCACCATGCCTGGCTAAATTCTTATATTTTTAGTAGAGATGGGGTTTCACCATGTTGGTCAGACCGGTCTCGAACTCATGACCTTGTGGGTCTGCCCGTCTCAGCCTCCCAAAGTGCTGGGATTACAGGCATGAGCTACTGCGCCTAGTCCCTAATGATATTTTTATGTAAAAAACCTCAAGTGGCTGGAATAAGGTCTAAGTAGCAAATAAAGAACTAATTTTTCAAATAAAGGTCCCCAAAGTCCCTTTCGTTTTCAACTTTCACAGTTCTTTCTCTCCTTCTGTCAATATATGGTTCATATGTAAAAATGTGCTTACCTGTGTAGGGATGAAATTAAGAATGTCTGTCATCTCCTCTTCACAAGAGGAAGCAAGTGAAATTATTGTCCTACTTTTTCCTTATCTTTTCCTTTTTTCTCTGCTGGAGTTACAGG